TGCGTCTTTGTTCAATTGATATATCTACTTAAGTATACATATTATGTGCTATTGATAACCCATATATATGGCAATGTTCACTGATGTGTATCATTTATAATAGAAAATAGTGACAAGTTTATACCAAATTAACTTTACATTAGTTGCTTAGTAGTTCTAAATAGTTTTACTTTAAGATATCTTCATTTAGTACAATTATATGTTTGAAAAAAAAATATAAGACCTATACATATACACAAGCATTAAGTAATACTTTAACTATGTAAGTACCAAAATCGAAAACACTTTTTGATAGAAGGCCGTCCTTTAACCTCTAAAATTAATAGATCACACACATAACAACAAACATTATTGATATGTATTAAGAATGAATCATAAATTGTCCCTATAATAATAAAAGAAAAAAGCACATTAAATCAAATCTCAAAAAGTTAGAAAAAGGAAAAGTAACAAAACTCATATTTTTAACTTATCATGATTTCAGGTGTATCTTTCAAATTGATCTTACTGACGGTACTGCTACAGTCACAGCATCTATCTCTGGTGAACTGGGAGAAAAACTACTCTCCTTGACAGCGGAAGACATATTTGACATAACCTGTGCTAAGGTGATCTCTTATTCCAGCCAACACATCTATTGTCACAAAGAGTTTCTTCTCACTCTTTACATTTACAGAGGCAATCATTTCATGTTAATCATGTCCATGAGATGTTGTCCAACAAACAATTTTAAATTCAGCTAAGGAAGTCATCTTGGGGTACCTCAAACAATACACAAGCAACTTACTCCATTATTTCCTACATGGAAAAGCAACATACTTCTCCAACCACTATTGATAGGAATTCCAAAAAGATAAGACCTTTGGAGATAAGTGAGATGGAGGTGACAGAAACAGCTACTGCAGCTGGTTCTTCAAATGCAACTCTGAAATTTGAACCACCTACACCAACAAAAAAAGCTGTAAAAGGTCAGTCTACATCTGATTATCACATTTATTATTCAAAATCAAACTATAAATCACAGTGATTAACAGTTCAAAACATTTACAAGTATTTGAAATTTAATAAAATTTAAGAGTGTCATTGATAAATTGTAAATTAGTTTAATAAATCATGAACTACTTGAAACAGGAATGGAAAAAAATAGAGATAATGTGTCTGCCCTGTCTGTCTTTGATGAGAATTAATTGTTGCCTTTAATGAGGTTGGCTGCTATGGTTTGATACCTCATTTTGAGGTTGAATCATTGTTGCATTTTAATCTTTTTGTGCTCCATTTTTTTGATGTATTTTACACCATGGGTTGCTGATTTTCTATCATATTGCTGCTGAATTTTAGAGTAAACTATTTGTTACACTTTTGATCAAATTTCTTTCTATTGTTGCCATGTGTCAAGCTAAATTTTGCTACACTTTTGGCTATATTTGAGCCAATGGTTTGGCTATGTATTTGGAAACTTTGCTGGACTTTTAAGTTAGACAACTGCTGCATACCATGCCTCTGTTTGCATCTTCGTTTTTGTTATGTCTTCAGAATTCTGAATAATTATAGTTTAATCTTATAAAAAACAGACCACCCAACAATGTAAATCAAGTGATGAGCTTCTGCAATAGCATAACATATATATTCCCAACATTTATTGTGTTCAAAATTTGTACCATTTTCCAGTTTAATTTCTGCGAACTTTACATTATTACTTACATGAACATCTTGGTATAGTTTCACTGAACTCCCTTACCTCACTGGAAAATATGAATTTCTGACCCCTAAATACTGAGGATCTCGTGAGAGAATTACTTCCATTTATTCTATTTTATTTATTTCATGGTTTATGGAAGCTCAGTTCAGTTGCAGGCTGATCTCCAGTAGTATTGGCAATGATATGTGTCCTTGACTCTCCTGTGCCAGTGTTTTTCTTGTATATTTTTCCATCTCAAGTCTTTTGGGAAATGGACATTCTTGTAACTTGGGATGGAAATTGTTTTAAGATATCATCATTCTACCCGGCTAAGTTTAATGTGGCATTGCATGGTTGGGTATAATCTGTCATTTGCATTCGAAATTCAAATTCATGAGTAGCTTGTTCTGGTTTTTTGGTGAGGTCCATAATGTGGTACTTGTGTGTGGAACTCGGCATGATTATGTGGAGCTTGATTTGCTTCTTACTTTCTCATGTCAAATGATAATGTTCTATCTACTGCATTTGTTTAAATTTTGACATTTACAGCAAGGTAAAGTTTTTGTTGTTCGTTTCAAGTTCCGCGTTCGGGGAGTCTTTCTCAACTTCTGCCAATTATCTCATGAGTTATTGCCTATTTACATACAGGAAATGACACATCCAACTTATATGAATTTGAATATTGCATTTTCACTTTTTAACATACCTTAATTTGTCTAATTACAGGAACTTCCTCACTTGATTTTGTGTCTTTTGCTTAATGAAGTTTTTGGATTCCCAGTCGATTCAACTTTGCTCAATAGGGAGAATGAAATGAATCAGTTAACTTTTTGTCCACGAAATGAATCAGTTAACTTTTTGTGCAGCCTTCATTATTTAGCTTTGCTGGTAATATTATATCCCACATTTGTCATATATACTTTTTGGACGGTTTCATTTTTGTCATTAACAACTCAACTTTCTAAATTTACTAACACTAACAATTTTCTCAGGAACCCTTAACAACTCCCTATGCTATGGTTTTGGGAATGATGAAGAAGATCAGCAACTGAAATTGAACAGCAGCATCCTCTACATATATGATATGATAAACAATCACATGTTGATCTCATATGTCAAAAAAATATTTTAATTTTATTACCTTAGTTAATATGGTATCAGTTGTACATATATTTTGAATATCTCTAATACTATATAACATTATCAAATTATCTTATCTTCTGCGACAATTATCATCAATGATTCATTAATACTGATATTTTCACTATTGGGCCCGTGCTTGTCACTGGCCTTCCCCATCTAGTATTATATATATATATATATATATATATATATATATATATATATATATATAAGGTGTAAGTTCACAAGGCCATAAACACTCTGATTATCTGTGTCTAGCCTATACCCATCAATTCACCTAATTCTATAATCAATCTCTTAAAGTTTAAGCCTAATGGTAAGTCTTCATTCCTCCCATTAGCATAACTTTAGTGGAATTGAAATAACTCGATACACCTAATATTTAATGACCTAACTCAATATTTTAAAACTTGGCTCATAACAAGATAACTATGGAAAGAATTGGAATTTAAGGTTACGTCTATGTCCTGTAACCTCTACCAGGGAAAATCAAAACAACATATTACATAATTTATAACACCCATATGCAAAAATTCCCAATTTTATCATAGAAATATCAAAGTTTATTACCCTACCTTACTCTCTTATTGGTTATATATTTGGCCTCAATTTTAAATCAATAATTACATAAGAATTTAAAACCTTCCTACTACTAATTGTTTGTTATTTTTCAATAGACCATTAGGCCATCATTACATGCAATTCAAAACAAAGGCATTTGCCATTCAATATAACAACTTGAATGGCAAAGAATGTGATAATACATAACATACGAAATTTATTTTAAAATAGTAAACATATGACGGTAACAATTTAATACTCCATGAACTAATTAAATTTTCTATATATAACTTTCACTTGCCACTCATCCACCAACTTTAAGCCAATTCTACCAAACATTACACTAAGACATATATTAAAATGTACGCTCGATCCCTCTTCACAACAAGACATATATATATATACACACACACTTTTTCCTTCCAATCAAGAACATAATAATAGTAATAATAACAATACTCACAAGCAGTTTCTGTACAATCCAATACGACTCCACTAATTTTTCTAGCATTTATTGAATATCCCTCTTTTCCAATTCAAATATTATACTAAAAATAATTAACACAATCATGCTAATACATTCAAAATCCAACTCTAAATTTGATTACCTGGTGGAACAACCGCTTCATGACTGCTGCAGATATGGTTTCTCTTGGCTAAACCCCTACTTTCCCTCTACAGAATATTTCCTCCTAAATATTATATAACTAATTATAAGAGTGGTGAAAGTGACCCCCTATTAATTATAATATTATTTCTTAACCATTAACTAAATAAATTGGTAAAACTACCCCACTAATTTCATAATTATAATTATGAATAGTCCAAAACACTCACTTAAATCTATCAGAAAGTATTTTCTAACATAAAAATTTCTAGTGCCCAAACCGACTACACGGCTTGTTACATTTACTCTCATTAATTATAATTTCATTTTTTTTGTCATAATAATGGGACTCACCACCTCATTGTATACCCAACTGTAATAGACCTTTTTATGATTTTGTATATAATTTTATACAAAATCAATTTTATCTCTCATATCCCCATTCCATGTCTTTCTCCTAAAATCATTCATTCACTCCTATTTTAAGTTTCGAATTGGAAAATTTCAAATACTCCCTCTTGTCTTACTTTCAGTTTTTGCAGTAACCACCAAAATCAACCCATGAATTCATTTTTTTATTTTTTCCTTCATCAAAAATTATATGTGTATTATGCTTCTTAGTTTTTTCATTTTTTTAAAAAAAGAATTTCATTTTTCTTATCAGATTATAAGTTCTTCAAGATGAGAATGGAGTATTCATCTCTATCTATGAGGATTACTAGAGGTAATCCATTCATTGCATGTCAATATTGGTTATAATTCACCTTCGTTTTCAATTGGGTTAACGCAAGATTTTGGAGTCAATGTAGGGTCTATGGCAAAACATAAACAAGTTCAAGTTAAACAATTTGTTGCATTGAGATTCAAGAAAAAAAATGACCAATGACAATTTAGAAAGTCATTAACGACACAAAATCTAGCGGCATTAAGATTGTTGAAGGTGGAAGTAAGAGAAAAGTCATAAACATAAATTCAGAGGAGATTGGATCTGCCTCATTAGAACTACATAGATTTGGGCAAATCTGAAGAACATCAGGAACAACAGGTAGTGTAATTTATATAAAAAAGTTATGTATAGTGGGTTGAATATGAAGGTAATATATACAAAGTATTATGAGACAGTTGTTATTTGTATATTCAATTAGTTTTATACGAATTATTAAAATTATGTATATAGTGTGTTGTATATTAAGGTAACATATACAAAGTCTTATGAGACAGTAGCTATTTGTATAAAGATATTTAGTTTTGTATAAAAGAAATTTATTAAAATCATTGTATAATACATATACATAATTATAGTACATTATACAAATTCGTCAATATGGATGGGCCCATGCATGTAGGCTTGGGTCTTCTTAACGTGCATCATTTGACGACTCAATGCATGGAAAGCTTTGAAAATAATAAAATATTATATTTATTAACATTACACACTCAAATTTACAAACAGATTTCAAGCTAACCATACATACAATTGACAAATGAATATTATACAATCATTTAAATTGTTCATTTTTTTTAAAAAAAAACACGAAATACATATGCACATATACAAATATAATCCATATACCAAATTATTGTATATTATACAAATTCTTAGATATATTTTTTAAAAATATGAACATAATAAAATATCGTATACAATCAGCCTACAAAAAAAATCAAAACAAATACAACACACTTTTTTTTTTAGAAACAAACACGACTGTCATATATACAAATTTCATATTATGATGATCACATATACAGTTAATAACACATAATAAATTACACACAAATATTGTATAAAAAACTATACACAATTTCTCATATATATATATATATATATATATATATATATATATATATATATATATATATATAGAGAGAGAGAGAGAGAGAGAGTAAGGTCTGAGTGTTTCATACGACTTATTTAATTTTTAGCTTAAATCATAGAATTGTGTAAACTTTTGTTACCGTATTTAAAGCTATTGTTACCATTCAATGAAAAAGTAAAATATTTAATAAACTAAAAACAAAAAAAATGTTTTATAGAAATTAACAGATACATAACAAACTAAACTACACCCATATAATGTAATTATGTAAATTATACTCATATAATGTTATTTCATAAATTACGTTTGCCTTATATGAAAGTTTCCCTAAAAAGGAAAAGAAACAAATAGACTTAATGGAATGAATATTAATGATTAAGATTCAAACCTAAAAATCAAACGCACTTAATGGGCTGAATTTGAATGATTAACATTCAGACCCACATTAAGTGCAAACAAATGAGGCCTAAGAGTTCAAAGGAAGTTCCATAACAATGAATAAGCTTACTATTTGCAAGAACAAGTACCGACTCACTATGAATGCCAACTTGCTAGCTCTATTTGATATAATATTTGCTAACATCACTTGTCTTCTCTGTAAAAATTTAGCATGGAGGAAGACCCTAGCTCAATGAGTAATAATACCTAATTACAATCATTTTAATGAGAGACAAGTCGGAAAACATGTTAGTATGATCATCAAAATGACGAAATCAATGCCCCAATATTTGTCTCATTTTTAAGCAAAATCAATGTAACTTTTAGAAATAAACTCAGAAAAACACTTACTTATAAATCATATATTTAGGAGGTTTCCAAGGATGAATCATGTAACCAGTGTGATCTTCTCTTTAATAAGCAACCAATAATGGTGAACTACTCATAATGATATTAAATATTTATATCGATAGATCCCTACTCGAGGAATATCGGTAACGGTATGCTTGTTCTACTTTTCCAATAGTAAGGGACTTAACGGTAATTTGTACTTTTTGTTTATGATCAATATGTACTTGTAGGAAAACATTTCAAGATCGAACAAAGCATTTACATCTTACCAAATCATATTATTTCAAAGTTTAAAGATCACATGTCAAAATACCATTTCTTAAATAATTATAAGAACTCTTTTAATAACGGTAATAATATCTTATAAAATGAGATCACATCTTAAATAATCTTTTTAAGTGTCATATCAAGTAAGAGATTTGTCCCACATGCAAGTTCAAACACATTCAGTAATACATTTACTTTATAACCCATGTACAAATCATGAAATTAATGAAATATAATTGTAGTAAGATTACTGCTCACAGTACCCATGTCGAAATGCCAAACTCGTTACTCAAATAATCCGTGCGACTTTCTCTAGGTCAATCTATAATCACACCATATAACCTTTAGTTGATGATGACCTTCACATGGTCACTTCATAGGCTCTATTGACCTTTACAATTACATATTCGAGATCGTCATATTTCTCTAGAGTAGCAAAAATATATACTATGACAAAAATGTAGAAATTAAAAGAAAAACTAACGGACAAACAAATTATTGAAACTTGATAGTATTGAGAAATAAATTGGGGAGGAACAAATACATTAATTTGTTACTCACAAATGCAATAAATATTAAATCAATCTAAGTTAAAGTTCATATGAAATTATTTTGAGAGTTAACTTGACCAACCACTCCTTTTGCAAATTAATATTACTGTTTTGGAGCGTAATATTTATCTCTGTAATTCCAAATTATTGATCTAATATCTCAAATCCAAGATAAAGTTTTCACGATTATGAATAACACAATTTGATAATTCAACTTTTATTTAAATATTGTAAGCAGTTCAAGTATGCTAAATCCTCGACTAATGGAAGGACAAAGGAATAAATAGTGGTGTAATCATGAAATAATCCAATGATTTTGGAGAAACATCGTAAAATAGAACAAGAATAAATGACTATTCAATTTGAAGCTAAAATCAAAAGTCTATATTTATTTAAAACTTCATTTACAAAAAGATGTACTAATGAAGTTCTTAAAAATTGAAATTTAGCATAAGCCAAAAGTTGTTTATTAAAGAAA